TGGCCTTCCTGGCATGGTTGAACATTGTGGAACGAAGTTCCAGCCAGTGTAGCCCGCGGCATCATTGCAGCACTGAAACCCGACCACCACGTCAAGGTGGCAGCTTTAGGTCGGGATCCTTCAGTGTAAATTTATGTTAGCCAGTATGCAAACAATTTGTTAACCTAAAGTCTCCGCTTTCACCTGATGGGATCGCCACTCTTGTCTTTCACAGTTTTTTTGGCTTATTTCTTTGCATACATACATGTTTTGTTTACATTAATGTGTTTCTATGTTGTATGAAACCCGTCTCTTACGTATCTCCATTTAGGTGTGGATGCCATCGTGAATATGCTCTCATTTGATCTTGACTACTGTGCCGTCGACTTGATACAGCCGATTGTGAAACACCTCTACGCGCTGTCCGATCCGGTCAGAAGATCAACAGTTGCCGTACTAACGGGCGTTGTATCCCGTTGCTCTGAACCGGACACTGTTACTAGTCTTTTGAAGTTGGTGAGTTAGTTGTTTGCAGTGGTGTGCAAGCAAACATCCTATAGGCGCCTTTTCTTTTAATGCTTTTCGGGTCCTAAGGAGCAGTCCTATGCATTCGCAACCACAGGTTTTCTAGCTCAAGAATAATCGCACTGGGAACATTAGGCGAAATGGGGGCGAGATAGAACAAGTGGTTAGAGCGCGAATTTACTGATAGGAAGGTCCGTGGTTCGAACCCAACCTGTGTCTTTCGACTTCCCCTGTCTAGGCTTGGGCAAGCTGGCAGTATCCCAGCCCTCGTGCCTCCGTGTGGCATGGCAGCTAGGCACTGAAAGGGTGCTACAGCTGAACAATTTTTTTAGGCCCAATTTAAAAGTAGGGGGTTTATTTGCGATTTTCGTGAATTTTTTAGGCCAGTTTGGTCACACATGTTTTGGAACATCTGAAAGTCTGTCGGGTCGTCGTAAGTGTGGAACCATCATGATTTATCTAATGCATGCGATTGAGGATCTACGCTCGCACCCAACCACCAGCTCGTCGTGGTCGTATATATGCGACCCACCCATCGTCTAGACCCACCTACCAGTACACGAACGTAGTTGTTGTCGGACATTTCGGCTTAGGACAAATGAGTCTGAACATACCAAAGGTATTTTGCCTTCTCTGTTGAAAACCAAACCGTATTTATGGATGACTACCCTCGGTTCCCGTTGTCCTAGTATAGCCTAGGTAGCCATTCTTGGTAAGAGACGGTTAACAATCTTAGCATATACAACAACCGTAGTGAGTCCGTTTACGTATGTGGGTATTCGTGTGATCGACGCTTGGCTCTGGAATTCACCACTGGGATCGTTGACTGTTGGTGCATCAGCAAAACAAAAAAAGTGCTCCTACAATCTCCAGAATCCATGTATCATGCATCTCTTTCCACGCCTCCAGTGACAATCTACCATGATTTTATTCTTGTTATCTTCTGGTCAATTCTAATGCCCATTACCCAAGCTTTCCAGATTGTAGGAGGCCAGCAGTGAAAAAAATTTAATGCGGTATCTGACCTGATATCACTTGTAATCTGAGCGCAAACACGGCACCAACATAGATGTGTATACCTTTGTTGAAAGACGTAGTTGTATTTTTCGTCCAGCAGGTATAGGACTATCAGGGTGTCTTATGGTAATCCGGTTATTTGACTAAATGTGGGGATAAAACAGCCTGTGTCCAGACGATGCATAGTTGTACATATAGTTCTTGTGAGGTGAGGAAAGATGATGAAATTGGTAGTGATCCACTGATGTACCTGCCAGTACCAGATCGCAGTAACCGTTTTTGGCCGCATGATTCCACCGCTGGACGTCAAGAAATGGACAGTTTGTAAAAATCTACTCGGGGATTTACCCTTATTCGGTTTACTAGCTTTCATCTTCCAAGCATCATTTTCACGGTTGATTCATAGATCTCAAAATTATGCCTTCAATTAGATACGAGGGCCAGACACTAATTTGTCCCTTGTTCACGTATCCTTTCCAGACCTATGCGCAAATTACTGGCCCAGAGGGGAAAAAGGCTGGTCAAGAGGCACGACTTGCTGGACTTACCTGTTTGGGTGAAATGTCCCGCCACGGTGCCAAGCGCACAGCTGCGTCGGATAAAATTGGTCACGCTGCGGTTTGTCTATTCATGGATATCATGGAACAGGAATGTAAGTTCTTCATTTCATCCCATGTGAATACTCACTAGATTTGTGTGATGGACGCTGGACACTGCGTTTTTTATTGTGTCCGTTGCATTTTGGTAACTTGACCGCCGCTGGGTGCTCACTTCTCACTGCCGGTCATCCTGTATAGCTCTCGTTGATACAACCCATCGGTACAATGAACTTCATGGATGGGGATCTATTTAGAATGACTCGCACTTTAATGTCAATCGACCTCTGTGTTTTCATAGTCCGGTTTTCATCGTTTTGTTACCGGTAAATGGGTCGCAACAGTAGGTTTAATGTGGCCGTTTTCCCCACAACAAGGTATTTCGGTTTTTGGCTGCAATAGACGCACCTCTGACCTATACGCGCGTCACTGCACACCAGTTTTAGTCCAAGAGGTCTGGTAGGTCGTCTGGTGACCGGGTCGCCCCATCTGGACAGGTTACCTCGAGTAACCGACCACAAGCAGTCCTTTCTGAGGTATGCTTCAACTTCTTGTGATCTCCTTGGACGAGTAGTCTTTCCAGAGCAGAATAAGTAACCTTTCCTAACTGCGTTGCTTAGTAAATTCCTATCGCTAAATCTACCGACGTGAATTTCAACAGACATACTTTTCCTTAATTTGAAGCTCACGAAGAAACCCTGATCTACGCGTCAAAACAATTGGCCAAGTGGGTTTCCCGCTTCAAGTCTACTTTACCCGACCGATTCTTGTCTTTTATCAAAGTAAGTTTTAAAAAGACGTGCTGTATCTCATGCCTCTATAGTCTTTTTGTCAACATCCATGCTCATGTACTGGGCTTGAATGCATTTATGGCTTACTATGGGTTCGACGCTAAGGGAGCCAATAACATTTCCCTGTTTCCAGTGGGTTTGATATTCACAGGTGCCGATCAGTATGTAAAAATTCATCCTCGCATGGTGAAGTTTTCAAACCCAAACCAAATTTGCTGTTCCTCATGCAGGTGTAATCCGCTGGTTGCCTGCGAAACTCTCTACGTCCCACGGGCTTCTTCAGCCACAGCAAACAGGTTTTGAGAAAGTAAACTGTGTTCATTGTATCATCACCTAGTATTTTCATTTGGATCCCCAGCACTTTAATCAGACACCGTTAATACTTCTCAGTTCATCGATCCTCACTAAAGATCAGGTGATTGTTTGTGAATCAAAAACCTCAACTCTCTTTGTACATATTATCTTGAGCAACATTTGTAACAATGCCACATTGTTTTAGTGATACCCTGATAGAATTTAGGCCCACCATCGTTCACTAAGGTTCATGCTGAAGTGGACACTGACCCCATTAAAAGGATCTGCTCCCATCCTTACCTTCTATACCGTTTCGCTTTTTTCTTTTTGTTTGTCACAGATAAAAGCTTTCGACCCCAAAACCCCTGCAGCTGTTCGGTGCGCCTACCTGATGTGTCTTGATTCTGGTTTCACAAAAGGTAAAGTGGATGACTGTTCTTTTTTAGGAGGTTGTTAGACGTTCCTTTTGGGCAGTGATTATCTTATACGCCTTTACCATTTTAGTGAACATCGGTGACCGTCTACCCAGTGCTTTCCCGGCCAATCTTCTCACCTCTGTGCAGCGGGCCATAGGCCAGCCAAACCACTCCCCTTTGGTGTTCGAATCAGTCTGCGCATCGTTGATTTGGATACGACACTTTGTCGCTAAATCGAAGACCATAGATTCGGAACTCGTCAAGACACAACTAGGTTCAAGTCCCATCTGGACTCTGCTAGTGGCTTCTGGATCCTCCTCGAAACGAAGACCGTGGTTTAGTGAGCGGTTTCTTCAAACTGCACCAGAATTTGGTTAGTCACTGTACTTTTCCTCACACATCTAGTGTTTAGAGCTGATAGACAATTCGTTTGCAGATGTCGCCCAGTTGGCTTTTTTGATAGAACAGATTTTATTCTGTTAATACGGGAGCTGGTGGATAGCTCTTACTAGGCTCTCCCCCTGGTATTTAACATCACATTATGCGGTTCGCCACTACAAATCACTGAGTTGAAAAGCCGGTCTGTCATTCGCCAAGCAAACACTGACATAAAAGCTACACTTACACTCATCTTCGGTCTGTCTCGTGGAGTCTGAACATCCGTGGTTTGACTTACAACCCTGACTTGGTTCATCAGTTTTTCTCTTTCTACTCTTTCTGCACTTTCCCTCGCCGATTCCACATCTCCGAGTATGTTGCCTCCATTCGTCTGGAGTTTCAGAACTGTTCCACTGGCCCTCGCTTTAGGGCAGAGTTTGCGCCTACACGCACTTTTCCTCGTCTATTTGGTATCTCCCTACTCTTAATATCTGTTCACTTGATTTGCAACTTTTCACCCAAATTCTGTGCAGTCCGTTGCAACAACTGCTTTGATTGTGTTTGTCGATCACACAGCGGTAACGACGTATCCTCTCCATTCTTTTTGTTGAACCTCGATTGTCTGCCCCATAGTAGAACTGCGTTCTTCGTGTTTCTACTGCTTATAGATCGGAGTGGCTATCCAATTTTTCCCATACAGATTCTTCAGGCCGTTCGATACTCGTGTCCCGTCACCAATCCCTCACCCAAGTTGTCCTCTTTCCTAAACACATCTTTCACGGAGTCGGTGACTGCTCATACCACATGTTTATTCCTGATGCATCTTTTTTCTTACCAGGTTTGTTCTGCTCCCCCAGGTCCGCGTGTTCATTGTTCTATCGCTTCTACTTGCCTGTCTTCATCCGGCAATCGCACCGTCCTCTCTCGTCTTATTTTTCAGTGATATTTGTTTGATGACTGGGAGAGAATCCGTCAATCCCTGTTCTTGAGATTCTTGTTCGCACGACGGTCCTCAACATCTTTCAAATGGTACAGCTCTGTTTATTCTCCACATTTTGAGGCCTAATCAACAAAGATCTCCAAATGCTGTTAGTCCATATTTCTCCTGTGGCTAAACAGAACAGAATGTACGAACTCTGGCAGATGCATCCTCCTTCATCATCCACAGGCTTTATTGTCGGCTGTAATCACTGTATAGCTGTGACTGGCAGATCCAAAGATACGTTCATTTATCGGATGCCAGATTAACTACCCAACGCACTGTCTGCAAGTCGAGCGTTCAGGAGTCTCGTAATGTGTTGGAATATTGGTTCAGGAGTCTAGCCAAAACGACTGGTCGCTCCTTTCTGCTTTATATTCGATCCATGTGGGAGTCCCAGGTACTCGTCCATAGATCAGGTAGAAATTTCCGCGGAAAGTTTCCTGTGATTCAATCTTTCCCGTCCTACCTAGTCCTATTACACTCGATAGCTTGGCCTTCTGCATCCTGTTGATACCTACATGCCGTCATACGTGTGTAACTATCCCGTTGCGCAATTCATTGGCATTATTCAGCTATCCAGCTATATGGCCGCTTTCATTTTTGATGCTTTCGTTCTGTGTGTGTGTTGAACTCATTCCATATCATTTTCCAATGATTTCCAATTCTTTTTTAGTTTTGGAGAAGCTGGCCACTCTATTGGTGATTTTATTGCGGCAATTGAACCCGTTCATCCCCAGAGAAACTAAGAGGCAAGTATTTTACCAGAACCCTCAGGCGTCTGTGAAACCCAGAGTAAAACGTTAGTTTTCCCAGGTTTCACTTGCTTGTACGGGTGCGCCAAGGTAAGGTTAATATGGTACCTGGAGTCTTAGCAGCTGTCTGTTCGGCTGACCATTGCGAATTCTCACTTCGCCGATTAATTACAACTCGCTAGATCTGCTATGAATCTTGGTCCCGAAACAGCGTCTGACAGCGACCTGCTGGGTGTTACACATGGTGCACAATTGAACCCAGGCGAACCGCCACTGAGCTGTCAACGCAGCTGACGTGGAGCATATACTCGCGCGCTTCTTTCCTCACTTCCGTTGAAAGAATACGAAGGGATGAATTACAAGCGGTCCATTTAAGTGCTGTAGCGTAGATCTCGGTTAGGATCAACGCCGTGATTATTCACGAGTATTCAAGTTACTGACCTAATCGTCATCATCATCATTGTCAGCTGTGATAACCGCGTACTTGTCGCACAGTGGTTGTAGCTGCCACTTTCGTTCACCGATGATTCGGGGAGGAGGTAGTTGCGCATTGGAGGTGGGAGCTGATAAATTAGTGCGTAAATTAGTGCACTGTCAGTGGGGAATCGGAAATGAGCTATGCATTGAAGGCGATAACTTGGATGCATGAGGGACACTGAGGGCGCAACTGGACCAGTGTCTCTGGCCATTGATGTGACCCCATCCAGGAAGACGGCAATAACCAGCGCAGCTGAGTTTGCTGGTAATGGCTTTAATACTTCACTGCCTTGACGTTGTTGTGCGAAAAGAGCCCTTCCAGGAAGTCGGTCGACTGGCATACGCAGCACATGGCCAAGCCGCCGCAACCTACGCATTGTGATCAGTTCACCTATCGGGGGTGAGTTATTTCTCCCCAATACCATTCGACGTACCTCAGCATTGCTGATCCGGTGTTCCCACAAGATTCGGGCAATCCTCCAAAGACATCAACGGTCAAACACTGAAAGTCTTTTGACGTCCTCGGCGCGCAGCGACCAGGTTTCTAAACCGTATAGTAATATGTAGTGCGGCGCAGCACTGTAAACTCGATCCTTGACAGAGAAGTTGATGTCACGCCTACGCCACAGGTGACGCAGGTTCACAAAAGCTGCTCTGGCCTTCTCAATCCGGATGGAAATATCATCTTTCGCGAGACCACCGGGACTGATACAGCTGCCCAGGTAAATAAATCAATCGATTTATCCGCAAGCATGAGGCTAGGGTTCGACCCCTCCCTGTTTTTCAGTAGCACTTTACACTTTGCAGGTATGAAGCGCATGCCAAACCGGGAAGCGGAATTATTTAGAGTATTTAGTATTATTTGAAGTACCACGGGGTCAAATCCCAGAAGGCTATGTCGTCTGCGTACTCAGTATATGGGGGCACTTCGACCCCACAGGCATTAGAGGCTGGTAGTGAGTCTTCCATGATCGTATCAATGACGAAGTTAAAGAGGAAAGGTGAAAGAGGACAACCCTGTCGGACACCACTTGATGTGGTGAACTCAGGAGAGAGCTTCCCGTAGACCTTTACACATCCTCTGGAGTTGGCGTACAGCAGCCTACGTAGGGTCAAAAATTTATTGGGGACACCTCTGCTATACAGACACTGCCATAGTGCTTGGCGGCCCACAGAATCAAAGGCAGCTTCCAGACCAATAAACATAACCATTGTTGGTTGCTGGAAGTAGTGTCTCTGTTCCAGAGTCTGTCAGAGGGTGGAGATATGATCGATGCAACCCCTTGCAGGACGGAATCCAGCTTGGTTTTTACGGATCCGCCACTCCCTGTGTTCAGTCAATCTTCGAAGAATAAGGCCGGAGTGCACCTTCGATACCACAGCTAACAGGTTGATGCCACTCACAACGTCCGCGTATCCCCTCTTAAGATGGGAATAACTGTCGAAATGCCCCATTCTGCAGGCACATCTGCGTTCCATATGGTACCAATAAGCTTTGTCAGGTGGGTCACCAGGGATTTTCCGCCTTCTTGGAAGAGGGCTGGATGCAGACCGTCCGGTCTTGGTGCCTTGTCACGTCTCAGTAGGGCTATTTCGTACCTCATTTCTTCTTCCGGATGGTGGTCAAGGTTTACATTCTTTTCGCCCGCATACATTATCTCCGCAGACTGTGGCCAGCTAAACTGCTCTTCGAAGTGTTCGAGTGAACTAATGAGCCATCTTTCTCACTCATCGTTTCGCTGACCGTTGCTTTCTTGGGGCTTGTCGATCGTATCAGTTCATATAGGGCAAGGCTGTTTCCAGTAGCAAAGACGTTTCCATTCTCCCGAGCTTTCGATGTCTAGCAGAGCCCTCGTTTTTTCCTTAGACTCTCCACCGTTTGTCGTTTGAGGGATTTGCGTGCGCCGTCGATCTCGTTGCCTGCTGGTATAGCTTTCCTGGCATCAATAATGGATAGCGATCTCGATGACATCCAGTGGTCTTGTGGTCGAATTGGAGAAGTCGGACAGACAGCACTGAACGCCGCTAACATAGCTCCTTTCACATTTTGTCACACTTCATCCACTTGCTCACTGCTACCACAGTATTGTTTTACTGTGGAGAGTTGTTGGGCTAGCTCAGATCGATACTGTTGAACTATAGTAGTTCTTCGAAGATGGTGGATTGGCATGCTTCTTGCTGACTTGTGACGGCATGGAAGGAAACGAACTGTCAGATCTGCACGCACTATGGCGTGATCGGAATCAAGTGGTGTACTCCAGAAGGAACGGCAGTTTTGAATTGTGGCTCTCCACCGGTGACTGATGGCCGCGGTTGATTTGTAGTTTGCGGCCGCCAGGTTACGCGATGCGAACGTTTATGTTGAAACAGTTCATGCTCAGTGCATAATTGGAGGGGTCGATCTCCGTTGTCTGTGCGGCGAGTATTGACTCCGAATCGACCGCTCAAATGTGATTTCAAGGAGCTCAGACGACCTCCTTGAGCATTCAGATCGCCTGCGATGATCACACTGTCAGTGCATTTTGCTTGACGAATGAGCCCGGATAGCTCTCGATAGAAAGTATCTTTCTCAGCATCAGAACTGCAGTCCTTGGGGTTTAAGCCGACACTACAAACAAACACCACTTTTTATGCCGCGAGGCATTGAGCTTGATTGAACTGGATGACCGGACCTCTGTGTACAACTTCCACGCCATATATTCCACGAGTCATCGCTTCTGGGTCACCGGACAGACGGAGGGAGCCATGTGAACGAGCTGAGTTCATCCTTGGCGTTCTGAGATGCATATCCACGCTTGGGTCTTGTATGCGTATCTCGGAGACACAGCATACATCGATTTTAAGGGAGTATGAGGTCCCAGGAAGCATTGCCTTTTTGCCAATTTGACATAGATTACGGACGCTAAGAGCTCTCATATAGAAACGATCTCAAGGGATTCAGAAGGAACATAAGATCCTTCGGTCAGATAACTGACAGTCAAATGGTCCAGCGACGTTTGCTTGTGCACTGGGAAGGGGTTGGGGAGGGACATCGGTGGACGCTGAACTGCGCTGGCAAATGATACTTCCCGGTTGCCCAGACCGACGAAGGGGGTTTGGTTGAGGTAGCCCACCTTGAGCCTTCGACTCAAAAGTCTGACCCACAAGGCAGTGGGAGGACGTAGGGTTTTGTTCGGGGACCCTGCCCCTAGCTTTGACTCAAAAGTCTGACCCACGAGGCAGTGGAAGAATGTAGGGTTTTCTTCGGTGACCCTGCCCGGAGCCGATAATTCAACAATCTGACCTGCTCGACTGCAGAGCTTTGGTCTATCCCGAGGGCGCAGGGAATAAGGCATTACTGTCTCATTCCTGATGCGGCTGCGCACACCAGGTGCCTTTTGAACCGCACCGAACTCTTTGGTTTTAAAAGTATTTCGACCGTATTAGATTATTCGCCGGTGGTCACGGTCAAGCGTTAGATGGTCGGAGTCTGTGGTTTTTGGGGCCTAATTTTTCTAACCTGTCCCTCCTCGAGGGAAGGCAGCATCGCTGCCTCCATAAATATAGACATGCTGGTCGCCTGGGGGAAACACCTTACTGCCTTCACACCCCTATCTCAGAGGACAGTACGACTTTACCCCCAGACTGCCTCGTAGCACGATTACTGGTATTACGGGGCCTCGCTGCTCCTGGTCTGGCTGCTCCACGTTGGCCTTCCCAGGGATGGTTGCACCTTGTGGAATAAAGCTTCAGTCAGTGTAGCCTGTGGAATCACTGCAGCACTCAAGCCCGACCACCACTTCAAGGGTCACTGGTCGACAGCTGATCAGTTATTTAGTTCATCCTACTGATATGAATGTGCATCGTCCGTAAAAATCAATGTCTTATGTTTGTATGGTTTTCCTCTGATAAATTTTTTAAGACATTTGACCTCTCTACAAAATACCGCTTCAAAAGTTAGTGGAAAAATTTTGTCTCATTCAGTCCTGCGGTACCCATTAAAAATACCGGTAGCAACCTGTTTGTGTTACCGAATAGTTTCTGTGTAGATCGAAAGGGGAAAACCGGGGAAACATGACACACTGACTTCCTATCTGTGCTTTCAGTAAAACGCACTTCGGCCCAGTCCGAACAATTGTAGTATCGGAATCTTATAAAAGAGTTTGCATGTTGAAGCGTTATAGCGCTGCCCATCCTTCAATCACGAGATCCAAATCACCTGGTTACACGTGTTAACTAGCCCGTCGAGCTAAGGCTTCTCAGATGAAAGTGTCATTCATCGAATGAATTTACTTATTCCTCAACTGTTGCCTCCAATGCGCAGCTGTCTCTCCACCTCCCAAAATTATCGACAAACCAAACTGTTAGCTATGATCATTATGTGGCAAATACGCGGTTTTTCAGCTGGCGATGATTGTTCTTCCTCTTAGCTACTTATGGACCGTTGGTAGTGTGTTGAGAACTGGAAATTTCAACGGGCATCACATCCTTTAGGTGGAGCCAATCTATGCAGAAGCACTGTGCTTCTCGGCTGTGCAGCATAAACTGGCTTCACTTACAGAACGAAATCTCTGTTAAAGTTCCAAAATCTCACGCTACCAACATTTATTAATATTACAAGCAAATATTTGGTCTGTGGTTCCCAAGCCACCTTCATTGCGGTTGCACCTTGCAGAAAACATCAACACCAAGTGGTGCCTCGGACAAGAGGGGCATTTGACCGAAATGTTCTGAAAAGTCGTCCATGGTTGAAAGTGTCCCCTCCGAGGTCCAGAACTCCAATTGTCTCCTGTGTAGGTATCTTGTCAAGAGTAAGGCAGCGGAAATCGATCCTTATGTGGAGGTGGCAATTATTCTCTGGAACATTGTAGCGGGATGGTTACTACTATGCATTCTGTTCGGTGCATTTCGCCGGCAATGAACTATATACTGAGGTAGATAGGTTAAATCTTCTGCAGTTCCGTTCACCACGATTTGAATGAGTGACGGTAGGGCAGGTTTACAGTCCTGATAGTGATCTCCGGCGTTTGTTGACGCCAAGTCGTTCTACTCAACTCACAGCGGACTAGTCGAGATTGCTATTCATTCAAGGAGATAGCCTTAACGCACACGTGCCACTAGCTGTGTGATTGGGTTATGTCCTTCAGTGCAACTAAGCTTTGATCTACCTCTTCCCGGTGTCCCCGTTCTGGAAGACGGTGGCTGCTGACAAAACTGAGTTACACTATTTGTCATGGACTGACCGACTGTATGTGTGGCTCTGTGCTACAGACGGTCCTCTTAGATTGGAAACACATGGTGTAGCATGTGCGACCTGTGAAGTGTAGCCAGGTGATCCATCGTGGAGGAGTTTTTTTCCTGAAAGCCATCTACCTTATTTCAGTGGTACTGGTACAAAGTACTTCTTAGGCACTGATAGCAAAACGCAGCATTCGAATGTCTCTGAGCAGAGGTCATGCCTCTTCTCACGCTACAGTAGGATACATACGGTGATAGACGAACAGTGTCACAAATGCCAGAGATCAACCACCTTAGCAATGCAGGTCTGGGGATCGATTGCTTTTTGCTAATCGACCTTGGCCTATTCGGTTAGTCCAGATAGTCGTCGGTTTGCAAATAATTGAGTATCCATTTACCTGCCACATCGATTGGTTGATTTGGAAAATGAAATTTGAATTGTACTAACTTTAGATTGATCGCTCTTAACCTAGGGATTGTATATTCCACATCCTTTTACTGTTTTAACACGAATGCCCAATCGGATATAGAAGTAATTATGCATTTGGATTAATTTTCCATCAAGCTGGTGGTACGCCACTCACTCATCATTCAATTCTTCTTTTCTCTCTTCAGCTATGTGTTCCGTACCTTGCTGTTACTTGGGATCCATCCACATTACACCACAGTGCGACAACCCGCACTCAGTTGCATAAAGGATCTTCTGCGAGACGTCTCTGAGGAGTACCGCCTAGAGTATTCCACCTACCTATTGGGAGATGTGGCTTGCTTCCTGTTGGAAAGTGACGATGATACTAGGGTCGTAAAAGTTCAGTCCGAAAGTTCAAAACTCCAGAAGGCATCTGAGACATCGACTACGGTTTCGCCTTTTGACAACGTGGGTCCTCGCGTTTGGAATGAGTTGACATGTGAGCCGGAGTCAGAACCTCCTGGATTGTGCAACGGTAGACAGCGTTCTCGTTGCCTCGGGTCGTATGTCGCAAAACTTATCTGTGACATTGTGATGCCCTCTGCGCTGCTGTCGGGTAGAGTACAGTCAGTTGACTTCAAGACGTCAGTCAATGGACCCAAAGAGCAAAAGTCGAAGTGGACGTATGAGGTTCCAGAAACAGTTCGTCACGCCCTGGATATTTATCTTTCCAGCCTCGTTGCATGTAGTCATGACACTGTCGGTAAGCTAACTTTCTTTCCTATCCCGTTTTAACAGTATCTTGATGCACTAACGTGTGATTGGCGTAATATGCATGCAGTTTCAATATCAAGTAAGAAAAACTGAAATTCAGGAATCACGCGTACTTGGCTGGTCCCAAACAAGGCGCTACCGATAGTGGCCCTTTCAAGGAGTTTTCATATACTTTTTCAACAGCACAATTTCTGTGGCTCTCAGTTTTAGGTCCACCTAAGCACTGAGGCGACTTCGGCGCTTCCTGTTCGGTTCAACAACATCGTGAGCTAGATGGATTCTTTTAGAACCTCTCTGAATCTTATGCTTGAACTAACTTAGATGCAAACAGGTGATTTATATTACTTGTTTATCCAGTGTTTACAATAAATTCTCCTCCGAAGTTTTTTAAAATAAACCACGTGCCATTGCAGTTCACCGACTTGGACTGATTTCTTTTACCTATTTTGCCACAGCCACTTCTGACCCGTCACTCTGGGAACGCCTTCGACATCGTATTGGTCTACCCGATCTGTGGGATGATTCTGATTGGATTCCACTACTCGGCGCCGACTACTTGCGCACCAAGTGGACGGGACTCGTGGATTATTTCATGAATATCGGTTGTCTTGATCATGTTAGTTGCTTTGTGTGGAACAGGTTGTCTACCGTTTTGCTTTGCTGTTTGATGAATTATAATGAGTAAATCAAATGCCCATAGCATGCCCAGATTCACTCGACTCTTGTTTTGTATCGACATAGTGGATTACTTTGATGTTAATTTCATTCCCTTTTCATCTACGTTAGACTCACACTCGCGCTCTTCAACGCCTGGTCAACTGGTCCCCATCAGGATTTGGTCGGGTGCTTTTCGATGTTCTCTTCAAAAAGCTATCCGATCCTTCGCTTATTTCGGCATCTGTACATGAAGTCAATATCATGATGACCCCAGAAACACAGTTGTACAACCAAGAACTCCTAGAAAGGTATCGTCGCTTTATATTTTTTTCTGATCTCTCACGCATCTTCTACCATTCATCCAGAGCTTATTTCATACGTAAACCACAGTTCGTCGTCCACGAATCACGCTTAACAGTTAGGGCTCAAATCAATATATGGACCGGTATTGGAACGTAGCACACAACTGTTTGTAGTATTCTCGAATTAGTTTTTGATTGCTTCGCAGGCACCAACTGCGCGTATTATTCGTACTTGGATCTTTTTGTCTTGGGGAATGTTGGTTTTTCAAGATTTCGAGACCATGCACAAGCTTCAGTATCACTTTCACACGGATGACCTGGAGGTCAAAGTCCTTCGTCAGCTGCCCTCCTAGCTCGTTTTTTTTTGAATGGGCTCAGCAAATATGCTCTCCTACCAATGAATAACTAAGAGAGAAGCCTAGTGCATGATGAAATACCACATTTCATTTCGTGCGATTCTATTGAGTACCGTCGTGATCGGCATCAATTTCGCCCTCAAATCGGTCATCTAGCTTTCTTTGTTTTCGACCTATCTGCTTGACCTAACATCTTATCTCAACTTAATTGTTGTTGATGATAACTTCTCCACAGGGCATATTTCCTAGGTGTTAATTCGCATGCCAAACTCTGATTCACTTCACTTTTATTTCTTTTCCCATAGTTTGCCAAAATACAAGAAAACTTTGTCCAACATCAAACGTGAGAGTAAACTGTATTCGTATGATGAGCAATTGGACATGATGGCTGCTAAGAGACAACGTGAAGAAATGCTGAAGAAGAGCTCGGTTACGAATGATCCTCCGTTAATTGAGGCGCTAGCGGACCAGTTAACAGAAAAACAGCTTGAAGCCGTTCGTGCAGAGCTTGCCAAAGAAGCCGAGATTCGTCAGCGAATGCTCCAGGTGTAGTAATGTTATTTCCAGCAGTTACTCCTTATTGAAAGCCTTGCAGGAAAAAGCCACTTCATGTCTTTCCGAATTTTCCTGAGTGTTAATTAATCCGCCCCTGTATCGAAGTCGTTTTTACCTTATGAGCACTCTTGGATAGAAACCTTTTTCGAACGCTCCTGAAGGAGAAGCTGTATTAATGAGTTTTTAGGCAACGTGTATAAGAACACTCTTGGATCCTTGGATGGGCTGAGGCCAGTTTACCGAATGCGCAAACGCCTCTGTTGCCATGACGTGCATGAGGTCATGTCAATCAACCGTGCTCAACACACACTTATTCACAACTGGTGGGACAACATCATAGTTGTTTCTTTTCTGATGCTTCGGTGACCTTCCATTTTCGCAGTCCTCCCATTGTTCGCTATTTCATGATCGTTTGGGGAGAAATCCACACATGGGAGAACGCCTTCTTTGAATGCTCGTTTTCTCCTATTGAATCTGTTTTGGGGATAGCACCCCACACGAAACCGAAAGAAAGCGATCGAATTTATGAACACTCGATGCAGTTGTTTTTACTGAATTTGCTTCAAAGCTAGCCTAAACCAACTACAAAAATCGGCACATGTTGACGCCTATTGTTATCCATCACGGAAATAACGCCTTTGTGCCTCACTACATTTTGTCAAGCTTTGCCGACGGATTTTACCATATTCATAGTGATTACTGAAGTTACTTCTAGTGCCATTGTGTGCTGAGCACACCGTATCTCTCTCAGCTGAAATGTTTTCGTAGTTTTAGTCCGTATGGCAATGATCACGGAGAGTCACTTCTAACATCGTCGCCAACGTGTTGCCAACGCACCATCGTGTGTCAGCTGGTGGCCGATCAATCCAATAGGTTGACCGATTGTATATGTGCCCAGTGCACATTCTGCTCAGTCAAGGGACCGTAAACTTGAGGGATTTCGGAGCATTCGCTTGGCTTGCTCGAACATTCGCTATCTGGTTATGTGCCATCGTCAGTACGTTGCGCTTATCACTGTCATAAAAATTAGCCCCAAGTATGGAGTTTTTTAATTATAAAGTCAAAACAATGTAGTGGAATAAGTTGTTGTAACCTGACATTTCGATTGCCCTGGGCGATCTTTTTCAAGGATTTCTACAATCAATGGAATACTAGTCAAATGCAGCGACATTTGGGTTCACTATCATGTCTTCTGATTAGTGCATCCCTGTGATCAGTTGACAGTCAAACTGGATCGGCGTGCGTGGGTGTGTGTGTGTGTGTACTCTGATTAGGATATGCTTCCGTTTGTTGTTGTGCCGGTTGTGACGCATCATTTTTGCGATCCTTGCTTGACATCTGGTTACTATGCCTGCTAAGGTGTGCAGTAAGTCCAATGCCACGAACCGTAGAGCCCTTCCCAGAGAGATCGACCAGGAAATTGCTTAATGGATTTCGTCGCAATCTATGTTTCGTTCGCTCGTGCATCTTTGTTTTTTACCTAACTGCAAGCGGGCGATCACGACAGGATACCGTTCATTCTTTGTCAGAAAAATTTAGTTGTATTCATTATTCCAAGAAACACCGTTTGGAGCACTCAAGGCGTTATTTGACAACTGCTTGCATTGACTTGCAAGTCACTTGTTAAGCTCCGCGAACAGATCAACAGCCACCTAGTTAACAACCAATACAGTCCCGTTTATTTACCAGAAAATCTTGAAAAAACGGGGATCCTCAGAACTGCTCCCTTCTTGATGTTTTCTGGATAGAGATTTTCAATCCACTGTGTATCATCAAGGCTTCACTGTATTTGCCACATTTGTAAATTTCGGTCTCCTTGACGCTTCCAAATACTCAGGTCCCTTTTTTCATCCATGTAGCTCGATACCCAAGCACGACACTTGACCAACCTGCTCACACAAAGTCTTCAAGCTTGCCTGTCCAAGTTCGCTCGTCGCACATCGCAGTCCACTTTGGCAGCCGGAAACCTCGCTGTGTACATGTGTCCCAAGCTGTCAGGTTTGCTTCATCGTTTACTAACAAGCCCTTTGGTTGCACCATACATATTGCGAGCTTATCTACGAAGTATTTCCTTGACCATGCGTTGTGAACCCAAACTAGACCGCCAGTGTGAGCTCATTGCGCCTGTGATAGGCTGGTGGTCTGTTCGAGTCCTCGGCCCTGCCCGTTTGTTGATATTTTGTTGCCCACTCTTGATGGGATGGGAATGCGCTTACGAAATGCTCACAAGAATGTGCTGATGTCGGCCATGCGGGATGCAACCAACTTGTTAACACATTGGTCTGAAGAACCAATTGTAGCACAAACCACTCGGATTCTCACTTTCCTGCGTTCCAAGGTAAGTTCTCTGACCGCCGCTTTTCCGAACGATTTTCTCATCGTTTGTGCCGTGAGGTGATAGGAAACCTATGTTTTACTGCCTTCGGTGTTTCAGGACTTCTATACTCTTGAAAGCCTTGTCGCGTCACCAAATATGTCAGCTATTCCTTACTGTATTATTCATAATGAGAAACCCTGTACCCCAGTGGATACAATGACCACTTCAGTTTAGTACTCACGGAAGAAAACATTTTCCGAGGTTTTAGGACGAAAGAATCTGTCTGCTTACTGTATATATGCTGCTCAGATCAAAACGCTGATCCACGCATACTTAGCGTAAGTAGAGTTGAAGAAGGAAAAGCACTTAATGGCGAAAAAAATCGTTCAGCTGTGGCACCCTTTCAGTGCCTAACTGTCATGACACCCGAAGGTTGCACGAGGGCTGGGATTCTGCCAGGTTGCCCAAGCCTAGGCAGGGGAAGTCGAGAGTCAGAGGTCGGGTTCGAACCACTTGGGCCATCTCGCCCTGAAACTCTTCATTAGCCTTTTCGGTGTACCAAACTAAATCTTAGTAGACTCTGCAGGCCATAGTGTAAGTTTCTAGCGATGAGCTAATCGCACCTCAGTCCCTTCATCTATTTAATAAATGACAGTTTTCATTTTATTATCCTTTGTTATTGGCCCGAATCATCATTTGTGACTACCAGAGAGGATTATCGGTCGTTGACCTGTTTGTTTTCGCCTACAAGTGATATCGGAATACCGCGTTCATAGCTTTTTAAAACGTCTGAAGATTTGTTACATTGTTGGGTCCACACTCGAGTTTGTTACCCACACAGTGTAGGTTGACGGTTTTTCACGGAATGTGCTACTCACATGCCGTCGTTTTCACTTGATTTGTTGAGTCTACATGGCTCTACATCCTTTTATCTCACTCTTTGGAGTTCGTTCACGGTCGTCTAGTACTCGTTGGGATCCACACATAATCCAAACACCCTGCGACGAGCAGGTCATATCCAATTCGGGCGACTAGTCTGTTCTGATTGGCCCGTCCGAAACCGGTCACGAGGTCACGTACGGTGTGGTGCCGGAGTCTATATGAACCGACTTTAGTCTGTTGTTGGGGTTCTGGTACCTCTTCTCTCTTTCTTTGTGCTTATCTTTATGCCAGCTAAAAATGTTGTGGGTTTCAGCGCTGTCTCAAAGAATTATGGATTTCGTATTACGGACTTCTGAGATGCACACCGATTTTATCCTAACTTGGGGGCACCAGCAGTGCGACTACTCCTTGGTGCGCTTGAAGCCGCTGGTTTACCAGCGATATTGCGTCGCATTCAACTACGTAAATTCTTGCTGCGGATTAAATAAAGAGTACAGTAATGTGCCTGGAACTATTTCACTTCGCTGGAGCCAATGCATCAATGTGACTTACCAAAGGATCGGACGAATTCCGTTTTACTTTAGCGGCGTCATTGGTAGGCTAGCCTATCACGATTACTGCGCATATAATCGAATTGGGACGTGTGTCGTCACAATGAGCATCGTCGGATGTAGAAAGGATCGTATCGGTTTGTTCCTGTTTTTCTCTTGGTTAGCCCTCCTGATCTAAAGCCACTCGAAGACTCGATTTTGTCCTCATTCTCTTGAATCCTTCTAGTGAACACACACCATGTCAAAGATTGGAATTTCGCTTTCTTGTATTCTCAATAAAATATCACCACGGAATTTCTCTTTCGTTGTTACCTACACCGGAAAGTTCCCTCAGCGTAGTATCAACGGCACAGTGCTTTGGAGTTTCCTATGTCCGAACCAGGAGTTTCTGCTCCTGGCCTCCGGATGGGCTCGCCCTCTCTTCGAAGAACTTGTTGATTTGTCTTTCCCCGCGCTCATGAGTGATGATCCTGGTCAGGACTCATGTGTCGCTTCGCATGCCATCATTCCTCTGAGTGTTCGGAAGCAGTGGAGTTGGATCACATCTGAACACGTGTGTGATATGCTAGCAATTTGGCAACATCAACTTCACGACCCGATCGATGGCTGTTTGGCTTCAGAAACCCTATCCTGGGATCGTTTGATGCATGTCCTACCGTTTTCAAAACTATTCCGTGTGAGTCCAATTCTTCAGGTTGCACTATTCGATCGCCTACCTTTTTTGCCATCACGAATGCAATGTTTCAGGGCGTTCGTCTTATTGGAACCTGTTTGGATATAAATAACAGTGGTGTTTCATCCACCAATGTATTCTTTTTTCCATAAGTATGGTGGATCTACTCGCAACTTGCCAACTGGCAACTAAATATATTAATTGCTGCCCGAGAGAGCTGTAGTGCCATGTCGTCAACAGACAGTTGACCTCATACCTTATCTGTCATTCACATTTGTATCATGCCATTCGTGATTCATATGATCGTAGCCGTTGCAGATATTTCTAGGCGTAGGTGAAACAATTGCGGAGCCGGTGGCTTTCTGACACATTATGACCTAGCTCCGTGCCAGCCTAAATGTGTCTGATGTGCATCAACTACTCACACAATATCAGTAGCCTATTCAGCATCTAAAGTTAAATAGCCTCGTCCACCTTACTGAATGTGGTACACATTTGCACATTTGGCTGCTCCACCAACCATATGTTCCGCCCATTATTCTGACATCTTTCACGCAGAGTTGGATGAATACTTTGCTTGATTTGCTTCGGCCGGCTTATAAGTTGCTAACCGAACTTCTTTTTTCTGAAGTTTCCTAGGAACCGTATACAAGTAGACATGTAGATGTGATTTATTTTTAAATGCAACTGCCTTTGTAAATAATCTCGTTTCCGTGATTCTCCTATCAGAATTGTGCTTTAATTCTTACCTTACTATAGCTCCTCCGTCAAGTGGTTGAAGGAAGTATAACAGATCTGGACGCCTATGCAGTTAGTGCCGATCAACACTTACTATCCAACAAAGATGAAGAATCAGAATCGACAGATGTCATGGCTGACATTAGTGATGAAGACCACTTAAATCATTCTAAAGCCCTGGCACAGGTCGCCATGGATATAATGCGTTCTGCTACAAATCTATTGTCACAGGAGTTGTCCGTTTCTGATACTCTGGATTCTGGAATTCGTCAATTGGCGAATTCTGTTCTGAATTCACTGTTGACTGGAACAGTTGCTGAGACCCCGCAGGCGAGGGAAATATGTCTTAGTGTAAGTCTTCCGCTCCTTTTTTCTTGTTTTGGTATAGCAATAGGCCTGAGTCTTTAAGCGCAACTACTGAGTGGAACGAAACGACAACTAATCGTTTCTAGGCTAGAGCAACAACTATCAAAGTTGACGTTAGTTGTTGTGGTGAAGTTGCTGTTGTAATATCATGGGACGCTGGAGCTTTATCCTTCTTTAAAATATTGAATTGTCTTGTATACTTTGACTCCATTCCAGGGTATCCGTGACAGAAATCCCCTGTTTCGGGAAAGTTCTGGCTAGCAGTTGGTACTGTGTGATCAAGTCCACACCCTCCTTTAATGTACTGAATTCTGTCCATGGGAGACTTGCAAAATGTTCGCAAAAATCCGGATATCGGTGGTTTTCATTTTGTAATGGCGTAAATCCTCTTTATGAATTTTCCGTTCTAGGTGTCTTCACTGTTGATTATAATGTTATTAACCAGCTGCGTGAAGTTCGGCATGTCATGACTAGTCAGTCCTTAATCACTCCATTTCCCCTTGCACGCTTAGTGGTTAAAGCGCGAATTTACTTACCGGAAGGTCCGTGGATCTAACTCAACCTCCTCATCTAGACTGCTCCTTTCTAGGCTTGGGCGACCAGACCTCGTGCCTGCTTCGGGTTGGATGGCAGCTAGGCACAGGATAGGTGTTACAGCTGAACGGTTATTATTATCATACGCATGGCATCTGCCTAACCCTTCGCCATCATTTGTCTTTCGAACTTCGATTATTTGTGGTACAGTAGAGCACAAGGGCGTGTGTCGTTTAGAAGTGTCATTTACCCGAAAACTACATGAACCCTACGAGAATTGGGAACTCCGTACTGAATTAAATTGTTGATTCTACCTTTTGGCGCCCCTTTGTTGGAGATTAGTTTGTATGGTTCCTGTATTACGCCAAAGTCCCCATTGCTTGCCGGAGGGAGGAATGACGTAGACAACAAGAATGACATTCTCTGAAGTAGTACCAAAAAGGAAAAAAGCAAGGGTGTTTTCGCATTTTTGGCTTCCCAAACGTCAGGCTTAGATATTATCAGGACACTGAGGACGCCGGAAACATCCACGTCAACTCTACGATTGGAAACCGTGTTAGCCAGGTGTGAACTGCCAATCCAAACTGATAATTTTGCTGATGATTTGTGCATTTTCTATGGTCAGTGTTTCTCAACAAGTACGGTTCTGTCGACGCGAAGTTAATCGCTCTCTGGTTATTCATCAGCTTAATTACAATCATATGATATCAAGAAGACGTATTAGTGGGTTTCCAAGGTCGCGTGCATCAGACTACTCTACGGGTTGTATTGTTTTACGGCTGTGAGACTTGGCCACTTTGGCCGGAGGATGTGAGACATCATCAGGTCTTTGACCACCGATGTCTCCGAACTGTAACTGGAATCGGTTGCATCGAGGGCATTTGTAATGAGCTAATGGGGAATCAGATCTGTAATGAAGCAGACGGTACTTCACTTGAAAAATGCACCCAGCACTACATGCTAAGGTGACAGGACCATGTGTTATACATACCGAGTATACCACTGTTTCGGTGTCTGATTCAGAGTGATAGAAGCCTTTCATTTTGAGGCTCTGTCCAAATAAATGAACATGGTTGTACGCCTGTTAATGAACCAGTGTTAGTCAGTGTTAGTAACGATGATGTCGATGCTAACTTTAACATGAAATTATTCTGTTATTTGTCTCTCCCGATAACTGCGCATCGCCGCGGCCAACCTGCATAGGTTCGATACTTTTGCGACGGCACTGAGTGTTTTAATTTCGTTAACTTGCGTACTTGACTTGACGTTCAACTTAATTTCATTTCGTAAACAATCCTGACTGACTTACTACTAGAAAATGGACCGATATTAGCATCCAGACCATTTTGCTGTCGTCTCTCACCTCAAAATCCACTTTTAAACTATTCACGGCGCTTATTCACAAGACACACATGAAAGGTTGCACTTCCGGGAACCGTGCCGGTCTAGGAGAGACTAAGTTTTCCTTTTTTCACATATTCATCTCTCTCCCTGCCGTGAACATTTAACCGATTTGCTCAAATTTTGTTCTGATTTATGATGTCTACTTATGCTCACTTATATCCAAGCCGAGATGTTTTGGCGGCCTTCAAACTCACTGACCGAATTGCTTAATATCTTGTTGTCCTAGGTAATATCCTACTGCTATGGATTACATAGCGCCGGTGGTTCAACTAAAGCCTCGAATGAACCAAATTGGTCACTTGCATCCACTTTCTGTAGGCTTTTGAAAATACTGTGCTTGGACAAACCTTTCGCAACCATGGACTCGTCGGTGCATTGCCGTTCCCAAAGATACAGTTTCGTTCGACATTTGATCCCTTGTTTCCATTCTACGTGAGATCACGTCAACATCTGTTACAAAAAATGGAACGGTTTCACAGCTACTTACGGACCACAGCAATTTATTTTGAAGAACAATTTGGCTTTACCTGATTATAACGTGTATAAGAGCCAGATGAATGTTCTCGCTGACCTCTTCGTTGACCGGATACACTTGATTGATTAAAATGACTATGAATCCGCCGCCCCCCTATTTACTGTTACGTTATGCTTGCGCATATCTATGGCTCACAGAATGGACAGTCTTTTGTACCAAGTTGATCAGGAAGCAAAAGACCGACTAGCGGTCTCCTCGCCTTCCAGAGTACAGTCGTTACGTGTGCGGCGGCTTGTTGCCTGAAAATCGAGCTACTGCGGTAGTCTTAGTCCGAAACCGCCACTGTTCCATCAGGAGTTCTAACCAGACTTTTACTGAAGGCCTTGCTCATCCTCCTTTCTAGGTCTGGGTTCGCTGTTAGCATCCCAGCACGCGTTCAGCCGTATAAGCACAAATAATTCATTGGATATCGGTCTTCCCGTGGTGTCAACGTCCGAGTCGACTTGCTTGCTGCAGACTGCAGGATGGGCAAACGAAAACTGGCTGCCTCAGACACCGTACTTCCTTATCTTTCATATGTTTGTTCTCTTCTGTTTCATCCCATTAATAAAAAGTCTTTTTACACGTCCATCATCGTTATTTGAAACATCCACTCATCGCGTAACAAGCACAGCCTTGAACATTTCGAAACCAGTTTTCAAACATCTAAGTCTGGCTTAGCTGACCTCCTCATTTTCGCCCTCTGAAAGAAACAGTACAACCGACTGCTCTTGTTGTTGTATCCGACTTACTTTTCACCGATGTTTACTACCTTTGTGCACCAGGAATTCAAGGCTCAAATGCAGCTGTCGCATTAGCTGCCCCATCAAATTCTCGTTTCCTGTTGTGCATCCTTGGTTGTTCAGAGATTGCTCTGCCTGATTTTATCGCAAACTATAGTGCCTGAATTTATAAGATGAAGCGGTTTCTGCGTAAATGGACATCCATCAGTGGTCTCCTCCGTGCGGTTTGTCTGGTAGTGTGAGGGCATCTCAAACTGATCTGATTGTACTTGTGCACGTTCCATCAGAATGCATTTTGGTACATGCAAAGACAGTTTTTGACAAATTTAGCGCTTTGCTGTATTGATTTTTAATTTTATTCACCCCAATAAGTGTCTTGTTTGTTTTGGAGGTGTGTCTAGACCAAAGCTAGAAACCGGATGGGTATTCAGTGATGCCAGGAAAATGCTGTGTTCCTGAATGCGATGGTTCATTGTATGACTTTTCCGTATTCTTCCAGAGGGCTGATACCTTCGCTTATTCTCTTTGGTGCAACGAAATCAATTCTCTTACGTTGGTTCACGTGACAATGCGACGATTTCTTTGTGTCACGCTAACTGATCGCTCTGGCTATGTCTAAATTCCCGCATAAATACTTCCGTCATGCTTACAGAAATAATCTTTCCTTGTTTATTATTTCAGTGTATTTTGATTCTAACGGAGAAGATTCCCTCATTCGTGGAAAAAGCTGACTTGGACGACAAGGCAGTATGGGCTGAGGGCTGTGGTTTAACATCCATTCCTTCTGTACCAACAAATGACAAGGAGGTGGATCATGACCATGAATGTGAAGATTTAGATGACTCGGAACCACAGGGTAATGATCCCGCGAAGCCCCGGAAGAAGCTTAATAAAAATCAACGACGAAAACATAAGCAGGCACAAATGGTTGCCGATTTGGCCAAAGCTCAAGGTGGAGCACAAGTTGAACAGCCTTACGAAAGCCCTGCGCTTTGGCCTGTTCTTCCCTTGTGGCAAAAACTGCAGGTCCGTGTTTGGGTTGCGCGAAGCGATGCATCAGCAGAAGTGGCGTCCTTAGCTGAAAGGTGAGCTAGTTTACTTTACGCTTTGCCATATTATTACCCCTCCCTTTTTAGGGCGATACTAAAATCCATGGAGTTGTACGACAGACCATCCCCATTGCTATCTGCGTATTTCCAAACCATGCCCTGCATCTTTATCAGAGCTTATTAGACACCTCGTTCTACTCGGTATGCGGCTGCTTTCATTTAATCCACCACGAAGGAACTATCTTCCTTGCTAAACCCGAGTCTCCCTAAATCTCACCAATCTCTCAGCAATCGTATCAACTCTATTGTTCCGCAGTGTTGTTTCCCATGGGACAGGTGGTACCCAAGGTGCGGTCGTGTTGCTTCGAAAACGAGCCTACTCGAGATTACCCACTAGTTCACATTTCGCGGATAAGCTTCTGCCTATGTGTTGGGTTTGCATTCGAGGCAGTTACTCGTTCGCTCGGTCGAGATGGCTCAGTGGGTAGGGCATGAACTTAGTAGCCAGAAGATCCGTCGTTCGAACCCACTCCCGCCATCTCGATCGCTCTTGCTTAGCAGTCTCTTAAGCCTCCTGTTTCTCTCGGGTGTTATGGCAGCCAGTCACCAAAAGAGTGTTACACCCGCACGGTTATTTTGTTTTCCACTCTATTCATTAAGTAACCGTTTTCTGTCTCACTGTTTAGACTGTGGGTATCGTTGGGTCTGCATGAGTCGTGCGAGCAACCGTGCACTCCGGAGGAGCAGCACTCTCATGGAATGCTTCCTCTTCTGGATACACCAAAAGATCCTCTCTTGTTGAAACCCATGCTGCTCGCTCAGCGTCTCTTGTTGGAAACTACTCGTCCCATTGCCCCAGTTCAGAAAGCAACTGCTGATGCTTTTGCCTTATGTCTGATGCGTCGAACGCCAGATGAGATTGCCGTGTCTCTGGAACAGTTGATTAGACTGTACAAAGTTATGCTCTACGTAAGTTTTCGAATTTGCGTTGTACTTACTTTATCCTATTCCGTGTTTTCTAGGGTGAAGTTCTTGTACACTTATTCGGTGTTATACTGTGGCTTTGCCGTCACTTATTAGGTCATGTGATGGGTTGGGGCGAGATGGCTCCAGTTGTTAGAACGCGAATTTACTGAGCGGGAGGTCCGCGGTTCAAACCATACCCCTGGCTTTTGGGTTCCCCTGTCTAGGCTTGGGAAACCTGGCAGTATCCCAGCCCTCATGCTTCCTTTGAGTGACATGGCAGCTGGGCACCAAAAGGGTGTTACAGCTGACCGATGGGTTCACGTTAACCACACCTACATCGATCAGTTTTGTGGCCTCCGGTCTCATAACAACAAAGGGTACTTCGAGATCTATATCAGTTAAATTCATGGTAACGTAGATGGATAACATAATTATCCGTTTCTCTGTGCCAGACAAGATTTCAGTGCATTTTTGTATTTTCCGAAATCATGGACTTGTTTGCTGGTTCGTATCCCGTCCGCTGATATATGGGCATTCACATTATTCCATCTTGGATAGACGTCGAAATTTTAAGCTTGCAAACCAATGATTTGTTTGACTACCTGAAGGTAAGATCATAGCACGCATACGCAATGCCTGGTACACTGTTGGTGGCGATGTTCCACTCACCCTAACCCCATTACGTTTCGAGCCCAAAGAGCTACATTGTCTCGCTCTCTGTGTATTCATTATTGATGAAGACTTTGCATACCGTATTTTTGATCTGTTTCACTGTCTACATTCCCAATGTGAAATAGCGCTCGAGTACAAATCCTACGGGCTATGCATTATTTGACTTTAGTCAGTTCAAAGTCCATCGTATCTTATCGGTAAGGTGGTTGTTTAAGCGCCTGATCGCTCAAGGTTGTTCCTTAATATGTGATGGTCGAAGTGCCGGAACACTTACGCACTTGTACTTTGTCTGAGGAATTCCTTCCTGTTTTTCTGTACAAGTTTAACGCGATTTGCGTATTTATTTTTATCCGTTTTCACTATCACTTTGAACTATAAGGAATTCATTAGGGATTGATTTGTAGTCCGTGAGATTACTTTTAATTGTGCACCCAAGACTTTACCTGAAAGTTACCTTTATTGGATCAGTCATAGCATGTGGACATTCACACAAGACCATGGTTGCAGTTCGGAGTCAGGATAAACTGGTCTGTACAACCTCTGTGCCTTCTCATCACTCTTCCCAAAAAAACGCACCATCCACGATTCCACATCACTTAGGAAGGCATTCGTTGCTCGCCATACCATTTACTGTTGATTCTCGAGTCCACTTGTCATCCCCCGTTTTAAAATTGATCGATATGACACGTTGACATCCACTGTGAAACTTACATAATCATAGTCCTTTTTAAATCTACCAACAGCGTGAACCGGCTGTCAGAGACAATATTGGTCGCATTCTGGTCCCTGAGTCCGCTGACAGATGGCGTGAGCGTGTTGGACTGGCGTTCGCTCTCACACGCTTACCTGAAGCGCTCAATCCATCTGATGTAGCTCACCGTTCTTTGCGTCCCGGTCTCCTGGTTGGAGAACTTGATCAGGTGGACGGAGATCAGGCTACGGCGAGTGTGGAAAAGCCCTCGGGCGAAGGGGAGAAGGCTAGTCGAACCGACACTTGGCTGATTAACATGTTCCGATTCTTAGTACCGGACGGACTGAACGATCGTCACCCAGCTGTACAGTCGGTTATGCTCAAAGCGGGACTACGAGCTGTTGCTGTCTACGGAAAAGTACGTGATGTTGAGTTTTAAGTTCCTTTGTTCCGGGTTTTAATTTCCATGCGTTTTTCAGGACTCATACCACTTTTCTCGGTTTTCTCTTCAACCCTCAAATGTAGGCCCATCTTGATCGTCTACTACCCATTCTGGAGACGTTCCTCAACAAAGCACCCAATGTTGCAGAATTGGACGCAGTTCGTCAGTCTGTATTGATTTTAACTGGCTCACTCTCTCAGCATCTGTCCGCCGATGACCCTAGGGTGTGGAATATTTTCAATCGTTTGCTTGGAACTCTCAATTTTCCTTCAGACGTGGTAGGTTGAATAAACGTTTTCTTTTTGTCCTCCAGACCTTGATTGCCCCCAAACCCTATTGTCCAAAATTATTATTTTCTGTTCCTAGGTGCAACAGGCCGTTGAAGACTGTCTGGCTTCGCTGGTGACCAAGTTGTCAGAAGAGCAGAAAACCAAAACAGTCACACGCCTAATGTCGACGCTGTTAGGAGCTTCAAGCTACGCAGAACGACACGGTGCCGCTCATGGAATCGCTGGTGTGGCTCGTGGTCTGGGAATTTTATCGCTAAAACATTATGGTATCATTGATAAATTGATACCTGCATTGGAGGATACGAAATCAGCAAAGCATCGTGAAGGTTAGTTCTGTTTTTGCTAGGGCTCTGTTGTTTATGTTCAGCTTCCTGATATCAGTCGTTTTGCAACAAAAATTTATCCCGGTCTCCGTGTCTGCTTTGTCTTTCAGGCGCTCTTCTGGCCGTGGAACGTCTTTGCCTGGGGATGGGCCGTTTGTTTGAACCATACATTTTTCGGTTGATTTCCGGTTTACTTACTGCTTTCGGCGATTCTAGCCCCAGTGTGCGCGAAGTAAGTTATGCTTCGGTTTGCATTTCGTTGAACATTACCTTCTACTTGGTCGCTTTATCGATGACTTCACTACCTTTCCATTATAGGCGGCATCTGGCACTGCACGAGCCATCATGAGCAAGCTCAGTGCCCATGGAGTGAGGCTGATTCTACCTGCGTTACTTCGAGCTATTGACGAACAACAGTCTTGGAGAACGAAAGCACGTAAGTTCACAGTGACTGTGATACACGTGTCTCTGTTTTCGTGAGTTTTTTATTGCCTAAAGGTAGTATCTGACTGTCAAAAAGAGCGAGTGTTTTTAATGTGAGCTAGTCATAACTTACGTCAGCGTTTTGCTCTACTATGCCAATGTTCTTATGTGTTTCATTGCTCCCATTTGAAGCTTCCTGAAATATCTTGGTATGCATCTCAACTACGGCGGAAGTTTCCTAGTGAACAATCACTGTTTCACCTCTCACCTTAGAGTTTCTGTGTTTACCTCCTGTTCAATAAGCTACGGCGCCTTCGTGCCCCTTATTGTATTCGCCTTTATCCAGCAGACGAATCTTTGTATTACAGAGTCGGTTGAACTCCTGGCCACTATGACTCATTGCGCTCCGAAACAGCTTTCTGCCTGTTTACCTCAAATCGTGCCTCGTCTGCTTGATGTGTTGGTTGATTCGCAAGACCAGCTGAAACAGGCGGGAGTGCGGGCTTTAAAGCAAATTGGAAATGTGATTCGGAACCCGGAGGTTCAAGGTGCGTCATGTGTTGCATTTATTTTGCCAGTTTATTATTTGTGAACGTTTTTCTGCCGAATTCTAATGCTGCATACGTCGCAAGGGTTGTTTGTGGGTCTTACGAAGATCACACTCTTTAGCTAATGATAGCTATTTCCTTCTTGAAGACGTGTGATTTCCACTGGTCCTCGAACTCTACCTACAGTCCTTACAATCTGTCCTTGATATGTCTCCGTTCCATGTTCCTCGAAGTTGTGAATCAACAGGTATGATGTCACTAACTACGCGAGGAGAGTGAATTCATGGTCGTTCTTGTGGGCTGAAGTAAATCGGTCTTCCCGTGCTGTCGCTTTCATCTTTTTTGTATCTGCTCGTGATTTTATTTTCCTTGGCGCTTGTCATTTAGCCATTGCGTTACCAGGCTACACTCCATTACCATACCCTTACGTACTGAGAACTCAATCAATTAGAATGCGTTGGCTTGTGGGGCAGCTCACGCCAACCTGTCATGTGAGACATTCAAACTACGCCGAAACCGAATGACACGCATTTTCACCCAGAGTTTTATGTGTTTACTGAAGTCGCACGGACCAAATATAACAGCAGTTTTATCGTCTGTTTTGGGGAGCGGACTAGATCTAGTCTCTTTTGGAATGGACAGATGTGAAGCTAATGGAAGACAGACTGTTGTTGTTGTTGTTGCCACTGTGTATGGTGTAAGGCTTTGGGTCTTGTACAGTTTATATTATACCTCGCACCCACCACCCTTAAGCTCATCCAGTAGTGCTTGTTGGTGGGTCAACCTTTCCAATCCACTGATCAGCTCACATGTAACATGTTCAGCCACTCACTTGGGGTCTGGATTCCGTCTAGCAATGAGTCATCAAGTTCGCTGTTCCATAGACCTATCCAAGTCATATAGTCCGTGCGAACAAACGTCGGCGGCGACAGTGTGGTGTTCAGTTCAAAAAAATAGGTTGTGTATCTAAGCATCGCGTGACTGATCCAGATCCGCTTACCTAAAGAACCCCAGTGAGGATGATTCTCTGTTTTGCATTCGGATGGCTGTTCTGAATTGTTTCTCCAAGGGCAATAAATGTCCACCTTCCTCATTTCTTTAATCTGAATGTACTTTCCATCATTCTTAACAATTCCGGAGTTCCCTAAACTCTATGAACAGAACCATCTCTGAGTTTCAACGCATATCTTGGTCTTCGGTGCTTTTTTGATACCGTTTTCTTCACCGTTCCTTCACTATAGGCTCTAGATTTCCTCGAATTTTTCGTTTTATGTTCCTATCTTCTGGCAAGATAGACCTTCACTCTCACTTTGCTTTCTCTCCCCTTAGCCCTGGTACCGTTACTGACCGGCTGTTTACAGGATCCACTGGCCGACAAGATGCCTTGTTTGCTAGCGTTACGTGACACGTGTTTCGTGCATGTTCTGGATGCCCCAAGTCTAGCCCTGATACTACCAGTCATTCAGCGTGCGTTTGCCGACCGATCTACTGAATCCCGAAAGTCAGCCGCGCAGATTTTTGGCAATCTTCACAGCTTAGCACGAAAAGAGGTTTGTTTCAAATCGCTGCCTACACATGGTGCGCTGTCCACTAGCGGTTTCTTTTGGTTTCTTTTTGGCCTATTCTTCCCGATAGTTCAGATCCCCGTCAAATTTCTGCATCTACCATATTGTTCTACTTTCAGGAATTACAACCCTATGTCCCGAATATTGTGCCCTCACTGAAAGCTTGCCTTCTGGATGCCGTACCAGAAATCCGCTCTGTGGCAGCTGCCGCCTTGGGTGCTCTTGTCCGAGGGATGGGGGAGTCTTGTTTCACAGTGAGTCTGACCCGTGTACTGTGTATAGCCTTAGCTTGGTTTCCGTTTTTTTTGGCTCGTTTTATTTGTTTCAGACCACGTCTGCATATTACACAATTTGTTTATCTTTTTGTCTTTAGAAAGCAAAACAATTTTTCACATCCGGATGAGCCCCAAGAATGGCGAAACAGGTCGAATTGCCTAATCATTTTGCTCAAGTCGACTTCTATCAGTTCCACATCCCCCCACTAGCTCGACCTAGCAGAATTCACCCAATGAGCGGCTGCTGGTCACTAGTAACTCGACTAGATCCTGGTTTCTTCATAGACTGTCGATTATACGGTCAGGTAGCACCTCTTGTTGGATAAATTGAGTTTCACCAAACCAAATCGATCATGCTAACGGAACAATATAAGGGAAGGCTGATCCTTTAAATCCCTGCTTTACTGCGGAAGAACAATTTTGCAATAGGCAGTTGCTGCTAGTAAAGTATGACCTGGAGCAGCCTACGGTGTTTGGTTGGGCACGTTTCTGCTTAGATAAATCATTCCATTTGAAAACTTGAGCGAAACAGGTGCCGAAGACGTGGGGAGCCCAGTTTGAAGATATGTATTACAGATGCCCAGTAAAAATGTTCTACTATTAAGGTGGATACAATTTCTTTTTCCACCCGACGGAGATCTTGTAATAGGTGTCCTGGAGGTGAGAATTTCGAGGTTTTTTGTATGTGCTGCTTCGTTGCAGCTATGTTATTCGATTGCCAGTGCAGTGAGAACGATGCCGTTCTCAACAAGGAGGTTGTTTCCTAGTATTAACGTAACGGCTACCTCATTCACCCTTATGAACTGATTCCACCAGGTGCAACTACCCCGTAGCTGTGTTTGCAAGCGGTTTTGCCAGAAAATTCAAACCGTCTCGGCTGAGCTATATAAACGAACCAGCTTTGCTTTTTTTCGGTAGGACGAAAAACCTCCACATCAACCGGTAAACTCTGCCACGTCGGTTATTGTTTTATTCTTTCCGGAGAAAGAGAAATGGTGTGATCCCGTAACTAATGGAATTTGTTCTTTAAAACCATCATCGTTCACTTGTCATAATCTTCGTGTCAGCATTAAAGTCGGAAAACTCAGGGTCCACAGATTGCTTCTTCGCGAACGCTGTCAATAATCAGTCCGCTAGACTTTCGGCTCCATCTTAATACTGATCGGGCACTATTTTCACTTGGCCCGGAAAAGTGAATAGCAGTCGAACCAGTTGTGTCTCTGAAAATCAGTCTATGGCAAATAAACAACAAGCAGAACTGAACATCTTCGGCAACAAAACGGATTAGAGTTCTTCGAGTGTTTTTTTTTTTTGATAAAACGGCGGTGCGTATTTGCGATCTCTCTCCTTCCTGTGCGGGAATGAACACCGATTTCTGGTCTACTTTTCTTTCACTAGGAAATCCTTCAGTGGCTACTCACTCTCCACATTGACCTCAGAGACGTCCTCTGTAGACCGTTCAGGTGCGGCACAAGGCTTGGCAGAAGTTCTCGGAGCAATGGGTATTGAACGCCTTCGTTCGATTCTGCCTGATTTCATTCGCACTGCAGCATCGGATTCCAAGGTTGCTCCACACGTGCGCGATGGATACCTGATGCTGTTTGTCTATTTACCTACAGTTTTCAGGGATTCGTTCGCTGAATTTATCGGACCAATCATACCAACGATTTTGAATGTGAGTGTACTATTTCTCTTCCATTTCCCTCCGGTCACTCGTATGACATATCACCTATTACCTTTTGCGTTGTTCTTTACAGTCCTTGTCTGACGAGACCGAATTTCTACGAGAAACGGCTTTGCGTGCTGCCCAAAGGATCGTACAAATGTTTGCGGAAACGTCTGTAGAATTGCTGCTCCCAGAACTTGAGAGGGGCATCGCCGACCCGAACTGGCGCATCAGACATGCTTCAGTCAAATTACTTGGAGATCTTTTGTATCAGCTCTCCGGTCTTTCAGGCAAAGGGACAACTAAGGTATGTGGCATTAATTTTTTTGTTTATTGTGGCTGACCTTTCTATGTCGTTGGACTCAATGTTAATGAGCTCTGCTTGATAAATTCGTCTACTGCATGAATCCACTGTCGCCTGCAGCAAGACGACCACCTCCTAGCCCCCCTTAATCATTACTTATCATCCAGCTACTGATCTTCCGAATAAGTAGGCTGACGCGACGTCGATTTTCAGTGCACCCAGTGTGGCGTGCTATCCGATACTGGCACGACTGTAGACTAAACATCGTATAGATCAATGTAACAAATGCTCCCTAACCAATCATTGAACAACAGACACATCTTGTGTGAGCTCATCATTACAGTGGTCTGTTTATTCTGATGCTAACGATATCCACCGTTTCTGTGGAGTGGTAGTGTTTTTTTTGCCCAGGTTAGATCAATCGGAAATCTAGTCTCCCGGACCTGTCCACTTTTAGGTGTACTGGCAGCTAACGACACCAATAAGTAGAGGAGATCTGTCGTTACAGGCCGTTTTGGGAGCATGCACTAAGAGTCTCAAAGCCGTGAGCACTATCGGATCACATCGGTGAACAGAATATAAAATGGAATTCTAGAAAACCAGGGGAACTCAGCGGCCCTAAAAGTCATCGTGGAGGCGTGACAGATAATAGAATGTGGAATTCAGTCCTACCTGCACCCGAATTGGTGATGGCGCAAGCACATAAACGGCTCGAGGTACTTGGAAAGATCCGGGATCTCACTCATCATCATCGGGTACAAGTGAAACGGTTCGAGAACAGGACAACACGGACGGCGTCGAATGAGGTATTACTTACCATATACATGGCAACTCATCCCGCAGGTCGAGGACAGTTTTTCATACAACCACTAGTGGGATCCTCGGACAAAAGTATCCCGTGATATTTCCTCGGGGTCGTCGAAGGCACTGCCTGAGCGTTCTAGTCTCCAGCATAGTTTGTCCCAGAACATAGCGAAAATGTGGTACATAAGCGGGTGCTGTATTATCATCCATACTTGAGTATACAAAGGATGAGCCGCTGATATGAGGTATATCACTAACTTCTTGAAAACTATATGTTTATGTGACAGTATCCACGGCGCTCAGAAATTCACATCCTCATGATCCAGTGAACCCAGGTTGACTGAGAACAGTCGGCCTAAAGTACACCAACTACTGAAGAATCAATGTGTTTGTGAGTACAGGTTTCAACGGTGAGTGTCCTCTCCAGTCGATCATCCTCCGATTTTTAGTCTCTATATCGAACATTCAACAACGCCGAAATTCTCAGCTTGGAATTGAACCGACTTCAACCCACTCGACTGCATTTGTCCGTGACCAAAGCCTATCTTGCTTTTTCTCCAGCCAGTCTGTCGGATACTTTGTGGGGCGGTGTCTTTCACTTTCGCCTATGTTACTTTACTAGCGGACTGTGTTTTTTAATTCTTTCTTGCGACCTTGGTTCTTTTTTTTCCTTTGTTGTGACAATGGTAGTCAAATAGAATGCTGATACCATAGATTCCCAATCGTGTTAGATGCTCTTCTCTTTCGACGTAAACTATCTGAAGGAACTGGGGGGTGAGATGGCTCAGTGGTTGGAACGCAAATTTACCACCAGAAAGTCCGTGGTTCGAACCCGACCTCTGCCTCTTGACTTCCCCGAACTAGGCTTGGGCAAACTAACAGTATCCCATCCCTTGTGCTTTCTTCGGGTGGCATGGTAGCTGAGCACTGAAAGGGTGCTACAGCCCAATGACGAAAGAAACTGATTATGCATGGTCTATCCAAAAGGTGAACACACTTCTTACTTTGTTTTCGAAAGAGCCAGTTGATACCCGAATCTCATTCGGTCAGTCAAGGAACAGTGGTGTTTCTATCAGCTTCTCAGCTCGTCTGACACTGGTCCGGAATGACAGCAGTATCTCCAGTGCAATCGCTTTTCGTGCGCGCTCTTGTTCGTTTTCATCTAGTTCATTTTTTCACTATATGCAGTCACTGACAATCTCTCTGCTCTAAAATTTTTTACAGACTGAGGATGAGGACGACACTTTCGGAACTTCTGCAGCTCATGAGCGCCTCAGTGCGATCATGGGCTCCGAACGCCACGATCGGGTCCTGGCCAGGCTGCACATGGTTCGTTCGGATCCGTCCCTGTTTGTACGCCAGGTTGCTGTACATGTTTGGAAGGTTGTTGTTCCCAACACGTCGCGTACACTGCGTGAAATCATGCCGGTTTTGATACGCCTGATTCTAGACACTTTGGGTACTTCTAACCGTGAGCAGCAACAAGTATGTCTTCTCTTGGTCAAATATCACCTAGTCTTAATACTCTTTCTGTGATGCTTTTTTCCCACATTCCACATCTAACTGGCCCTTACATACTTCTCGCGAAGGTCGTTTGAGCTTCATATTCCAATCGCCTTGATAACTGGTATGGGCACTTTGTGACGATATTAAACAGCCACTCCGTTGTTCTCGATTAATTGATAATCAGGCGACGTCAGCGAATGTTCGTAGTCAGTGTGTTATGCTAAATCAGCTTTCCATTGATCAACAGGGAGATTAATCGCACTCGGATAGTGTGTGGCGCCAACACAATAATGTTAGTTTACTGCTAAATTGTGCTGTGGTCTGCACTGCTCGTGGTTGGTCAGCTAAGACGGCGATTTTGCCGTTGTTTTATTGTGAGATGCTTCAACGGAACAGCCCCGAACATGATCAGGCGAACCACTGACACTCGCGCGTAGCATGCTTCTTTAGAACAATTTCAGCATGGACGGAACAGCATTGATGTCCAGTTCTTCGACGAAATTAGACCGTCTGTTGTCAAAAGTTTTCATTCAATTGTTTGCTTATATCTACGGTTTGGTTCATTTAGTCAGTACCCACAAATGAGTAACGCTGTGAGTGCTCCGAATCGTGTTTCTTGGAATCAGTTGGTGCATTGATCATAAACACAGCTAAGCTTCTTCTGAAAAGGGATGAATTTCATCATTTCGTGATCGCCCCTTTGTAGTCAAATGAAAACTTGGCACAACAAAGTTTTTTTAATGGCGGACAGGGAAAGTATTCAAGACGATGCTTGGACAAACAAAATGTGGATGTTAATGAATTTCGTTAAGCAGAGCGTTGATGAACACTTTGCTGGCATTCGAAGGAAACGCGGGGTTCACAGAACACTATGCTACGTGCGATGCTGTTCAACAATTAATCTCATAATGTGCTCAGTACAGCCTCGGCCATGGCAGTAGAAAAACAGAAGGAAAATTCGCAGTTGACTTGAGAGGCAAAGGAACCGAGGATATAGTGGATAGACTGAGTAACCGCGACCATTGGCATTAGATGCTGCGTGTTTTTATGTGGATTCGCGCGAGATTTCAATTTCACTAGAGGGTATAACAGCTGCGCAATAGGATACACTGCTTCGTTGGACAGCAACAGGTTTGGTGCAACCAGCACAGTCAGACTAGGTTCACACCTTACCCAGTATGGTTCACAAAAACTGTTCTTGCTGGACGTACTTCATCGGAAAAGTTTTTTTCGAGGGAAATTCGTACATCATGCTTTTAACCAAAACAGATAACGAGGTTTATCCGCATGAATTCCACCTGCTGCGATTAGGTGGACGTAAACCCTATTGGACTTCAGATTGTCAGCCAAACGGGCATCAGGTAAAGCGTTCTTGCTCAACAATGCTAGTGGCCACGCATACCTTTGCACTCTATCGGTTTGGTCTCCTGAAGCTATATGTAAAGGCATGAAGATGAAGCGCACAGTAACTCATATTCAAACGATTGATGGGAACGTGTTCTGAACCTGTCTTGATTAGCCCGTAGGGCATTTATGTACCGTACACATTGTCGGGCTCAACAACGTAAGAGCAGACCTTCACTGAATAATTCACAAGAGGCAAACCTCCACATAGTGGTTCAAATCCTCGCCAGTAGCGATGACCTGCCTTCTTTTTCTGGCAAGCACTGTTTTTAGGTACGGTGGTCCAGCCGGTATCTCGATTAGAAACCGTGAGTTAACTTCAAAGAGTTATTTTCCATAGTGTCCTTGCCAAGGTGCTCATCCTCATCGAGACCATATTAGAGGCACATGTGCTGGTATCGGTGCATGGAAGATGCGTGTATCCTGAAGCTTAAACTACCCTTCCCCCGTGCTATTTCATCAGCAGCGTCACTTTGTAGTCCAAAGGTTCGGACGAGCTAGAAAGCCGCTGGTTTGTCAGTTGAATTACTGAATCCCATACCTTTCGTTCCATCAAAATCTCGACCAGCAATACCAGGAGGCCACATAAATACGTTAAAAACTATGCCAACAAATTGCCAAATTACTCAGTTTATGGTGCGAAGTTCCGAGCACTGTTTACCCGCAGAATAAACAAATTTCTTCAAAAGATAATCCTTGGAAGAGAAATAGGATCTAATGTAAACGCATATAATCTTCTGTTTGAATAATTGTTTCTCCGGGACAACAACAATACCAGCGATGGCAACAGTTTCATGCCACATCTTTTGGAGAAAGATCAAAACAACGTTGTCAGGTGATCTCATTTGGCGTACTTAATAGCATGTAATGGTAACTCACAAGAATACTACGAAACCAGTGTCGACACGTTACTTCACCATTTGTTTTACCAAACATATGTGATACTTGCACACAATAGTGGCAGAATGATATGAGTGACTTTTGTTCAACTTGTACTGTTTGTTCTAGTCCCAGCTATACTGACCAACTATCGGTCACTCACTTTCACACAAACCAGATCTGATGTATGCCCTTCCGCGACCATGAGGGTTTGAGCCCATCAGTCCCAGTGCTCTGTGTATCTTGTCCAATTACCTGTTCTCTGTTCTAGCTTTTTCTTTTAAGATTTTGAATTCGGGGCTATACTTCGGGAAAGGATTTTATCAACCGGAAAATATGTGGCTTAAAATATCCGAGAATAGGATTGCCTCCGCAACCTTTATATCATCCAAGGTCTAGCCTCACAGTATAGCTGTTTAGGCAGACGGATCTTTTGAAAGCCAAATATAGGTGAAAAAGGTGATGGAAGTGATTGTGGCGTTTAGCACTGACTGTGTGAGTCCATCAAATTAACAAACAAGAAATCCATCCGATTCTCTGAATGACTAGAGGACAACAACCATCGATTTATCCTATTGGGAAAAGTATTGAATCAGGTAATATGCGATCTACCTAGCTGATGCTCTATTAATCACGACGGAACCGTTATCGGGTGTGCTTGGAGCAATTATGCCATTAAATGATGCATACATTGTTCGAGAATGAAACTATTCACAATAGTACCTAGTCATCCGTGTTCTTTCGTACCGTTCTCCTTCCAAAGAGAACTGACCGTCGATATCGACTAAAATCATCCCGTTGGAAACGCATCCTTTTCGGGAACAAAATATCTCCAAATTACGTCAATATGTTCAGATAGCAGAAACTTGTGGGAGTAGTCCTAATGCTCTGTTTTTAAGTTGAACGTTATCCTCGGCGATAGCAGATGGAGCCATCGTATTTCGATGCACGGTTTGTGAGCCAAAAAATCTCGACTATAGTTATACCTTAGAATAATTGCAATGTAATATGGAATCAGTCTGACTTCTTTTCTTCATTCAGCGGTAGCTGAGTTGGATCACATAAAAAATCCGGTTAATAAGCAAATGGAAACTTCCGATTGTATTTCTTTTGAGCCATCACCGAAGGACTGGTGACAATACTAGTTTTTATGATAACTCCTTTCACCTAGATCATATGTAATGCACTCTGGGCCGATGCCCAGAATGCGTAACCTTGGAACCGACTTCCCAGCTCCCAGTATTTTTTTCCACATTTTTTCCAGCTTGCTGCTCGGGCTCTTGGTGACGTGGTGCGGAAACTGGGTGAACGAATTTTGCCTGAAATTATTCCACTCCTTGTGGCTGGATTGAATTCCCCAGAACCCAACCATCGTCGCGGCGTATGCACAGGGCTCATGGAGCTTATGCGCAATTGTCCCCGAGAACAGGTGGTCTTCCGTTTTCCGTGCTATCCTTCATTTTTCCTAACAGCTGAAGACGAACCCAAGTCGGTTCTTGTTAGGATGTAGGCTAAAATTGTCTGGGTTTATGAGACAACGACTTATGAGAGCGTTGCTTGTCCCATTCAGCCTACCAGTGTGCTTTTCCGCCACACTGGCAGACAATGCCGGGTATATTATGAGCAGATGAAAAGCGACCCCTTAAAACTGCTTCAGGGAACTTGTTGCAGCCATCATACAGGTCGTACGGCTATTTAGATAACCGGTATACTCTATTCTTTGAATTCGTCATCTTGGTTTGAAATGCCTCTTGCCTGCACACCAGTATAGGCTGATCAGGTTCTTGCACTTTTCATTTTGGAATGCGGATTTATCACACTATATTTGCTGACTAATTTCATCCGAAGTGACTAATGAAAGTGTTATGTGTCTGTTCACCATCCACAAACAAGTATTTATAGCACGTTCGCGTGCGTGTTCGATCCGTTTGATAGCTCTTTGGCTGTCTATCACCTTCGTGTGCACTGTTTTCTGTGCTCCATGCGCCATTTGTGTGCGTGTGGACACGGCAACATCGACTTTTCGCTGTAGAGCTACATGTGTCTGTGATCGCCTATAATACCTATTCACTATGTATGTCTGCTTTCGTGGACTTGAACGCACGCACCCGTACTTTCGTGGTCAGTCGCGAACGATCGTGATATCTATTTTTGGCACCTACATTCTCCTAGTTGTGAACAGACTGTCCTCGAGTGTTTCGTCATGGGGACCAAAGCATGCTTGCTAGCTTCACGTGGTTTCTGCAGCGGCAAGTATGCCATGCGAGATGCTCGAGGACAATTATTTCTATGCTACCAAATTCGATGTAAGCCATCCGCTGGCATGTGATATTTAGAATAGACAGCAAGATCACTTATGTATGTCACTAGTTTTAAGATCTATCAAATAGCCCTCCGGTGATGGACCTTCCTCCCGCCCGATTTAGCTTAGCCTTATATGATTGTAACTTGGGATCACTGTACTTCCCCCACCAGCCTCCAAATTGTGGTAATGTAAACGGAACACACCATTCATTGGGTTGCTGAAAACCCCTTCGACAGCCTACATCCAGTTTCGCCTTCCTTGGGAGGGGGGTTTCATCACGTAGCAGAAGTCCTCAAATTTCCATCAGCCTGATGCCCTGCTTGATCCTAGTTCTTTTACGCTTTTCATAGGGAAAGCTTTATGTTTGTCAGGACCTTCAAGGCGAACTGTGTCCCAAAGAATACAGAAAAATTGAGGGCTACTTGGAGAACTACCTCGCTCCGTGAAAAATCTCTTCCGTACAACACGCTAAGGGCCTGTCAATGTCTTTACAAGTTGGCCATACAGAATGACTTTTCCTTAGGTTTCACCACTTCGTACCGATACATTTGAGTGGCAAGCATAGGATCTGACCTGTCGGGTCACCGCAGCGCCACAACGCGCTTACCTGATAGTCTTTTGGTTGCCTCCTCTGTGTAGTCGGCTCCATGTCATTGAGGCCGTAAACGGCCTACGCTGTCATTTTGGGAGATACCACCGCGAAACCTATGGGAAACTGATGTAGTTCACCACTCCATGACCTTGTATTGACAGTCTTTAAACGGAGCTTGCCACGAATTGAGGAACGTACCCAACTTGGTGCCATCATCTTCAAGTTCGCGTATTTTCGGGGAGTTTCCTCACATTCAAGTTTGCTCTCACCTTTGTATAATAAAAATGTATGGGGAACAAAGGGACGTTTCAGACGATTTGATCTACCTACCACTCATCCCGATAATACGATTTATTTAGGTTTCGTCATAAACCTTGTTCCACTTCACCTCATGCCTGTCGTGGTCAGGATAATGCCTCAAGTTACATTCATTGAATAGTAGATTTGATTTCTGGCCGTGGACACCTAAAACCAGTTGAATATTTGTTGGAGAGGTGCCCACTAAGCAGCTTGCACGTCTTTCCCCGTTGCTACTTCTTAAATTGAACTGTTAACACTTCAGTCTTCATTTTTTCCGTTCACTGAACTTTGTGCTTCGAATTAATGCTCCGGTCTCAAAATTTCAGTGGTCCGAGTGACTATCAAGATCATGACTTGCGTGTTTCGGTTGGATGCTTTTCATGTGGATTGATACAGCGTGAAGTCGGTCTGCTCTACTGTTCTGTGAACAGGAAATAACTTTTCTCTATGACAATGACTGTTAACCCAGTGGATGCCAACAAAGACTTTGATTTCTTCGAATCGGATTCAGATTCATGCTCACACACCTTTTGGCTGAAGTCATTAGCTCGAAATGTGATACACTTTTTTCACTGAAACGATGATACATTTTGGGTATAAAGTGTCTTTGCTGGGCAATCTGCGGTCGCATTACTTTGTTATGAACGTGTTCCTTTTTACTACGGTTGTATATTTCATCCATCTCACACACATAAGGATCAGAATTTCACGACCAAGCTTTTGCATTGCTGACTTCACAGTGACAGTGTGGGAGAAAAACTGACAGGAACACATAGTAATGCTCAAGATTGCTCGGACGATATGTGGAAATGAACTGACCTGGTTCCTACATCATCAACGCATACGAGAGTTGGCATAAGCTTCAGTTTTTGAGTGATGTTCTGGTTATAGTCGATCCTTCAACAAGGATCCTACTGAGCAGATAGCCGGGTGGTTAGCTACTTTCCCAAAACAGTCAAAGGAATATTGTGTTTGGCCCACATGAGTGGTCTCCAGTTTGTTCACCACATGGGCTGAAGCATTACGTCATTTCAGTACTTCCTCCAAACGTTAGAATGCACATGCTTCCGAGAAAATATCTCCAAAACCTCAGTGAATCACCATCCACCCGCCTATTTTTTGTCTTTCTCCTCACACAATGCTTTCTGACTTTTCAGTAGGATTTCATCTACTGCGACTATGTAGTACGAATGGCTAGAGCTGATTCGAGTGGGTCCCTTAACAAAACAAACAACTAGTATGCCGTGTATGGGTGGAATGGAACGGGAGCGTGAGTGAATTTCTCGTTTACTGCGTGACCATTCTCAGCCAGAATTGGTAGCTTGTGCTGTTAAATTTTTGAAGACGCACATAACATGATCAAGAACGCAGCTCAAACAGGAACCTTTGTGCTGTTCTAAGTCTGTTGTCTGCCATTCAAGATAAACCACTAAGCTAAGCTCACTGTAAGATTACTTGCGTTACTTCCATCGTGGGTGTCTTATGAAGTTTGGTGTGTTGAGTGCGGTAAAATTGTTGTTTATTCGATCCTTCGGTGACCTATCTTTTTCCCGTTTGTATTCTACTTGGTGTAGTTGTTTAACTACACAGACAGTCTGCTGATTCCTATTCGCCGCACACTCTGTGACGAACTCCCCGAAGTACGTCGTTCTGGTGCACGTACATTTGAAATTCTCTACGGTGCGTTGGGTGTTCGATGCTTGGATGGTGTCCTTCCAGACATCCTGGCGCAGCTCGATGATCCGAAGACAAGTCCTTATGCACTGGACGGCCTTCGACAACTGCTTGTTGTCAAGGGTAAGGCGGTCATGCCTTATTTGGTTCCAAAAGTAAGTTTGCGTTCTGAATACCATGTGTCTGTGAGCACCAGATAACGAATATAATCGAACATACAATCCACCACGCATTTCACCATAATTGAATCTTATCAGCTGAGTATGACATTAACGTTCAGCGTTTACAGACCTACCCCGAGCGCACTTTGATCTCATTGTGTGCAAATTACGTATATAGCTTGAAACAAACCACATTTTTTGTTCATTTGCGCCAAACTACATTGGGATATATCCCGTTGTTTATTTTTACCGTTGTCAACAACAACCGTGCATTATGGTAAATGCTGCAACTTCACTTTCGTACGATCATTGAGAACACGAAGAAACGGAAGTGATGTGACCATACGAAATCTCTCAGACTTTGAGAGATCGAGGTAACTCAGTGTTAATGCGCGAAGTTACAAACTGGAAGGTCCATCGTTTGAACCCAACCCAGACATATAGACAACTCCTCCCCCAGGCCTTTGTAACCTGGCCGAATCTCTGTCCTCTTGCCTTTTTCGAGGGGCATGGCAGCTATGCATTGATGGAGACAGTTTGGATGAATGCGCGACTGGGCCGTATCTACCAATATCTCTAACCGTTGATCTGTTTCGTCTCGGAGGTGGCACTAAGCAGCGTCGTTGAGTTTTCTGCTAAGGACTTTCATACTTCGTTGGCAAGTCAGTGCTCGGTCTCCCTTGGTTCGCTTCCGTCCTTTGCTTGATTATATAATCAGGGCTACCAGGAGGTTCGTTGACTGGCATACGGAGCATTTGACCAAGCGAGCGCAAGCTATGGAGTAAGACCATCTCATCTATCTTGGACGAGGTGTTTTTTTTCCGAATATCATTTGACTTCAGCTTTACCTATCTGATGTTTCCTCCAGACGCATGCGATGTTCTGAAACACCAAT